CAGCCAATTAGTCATCACCTGGCCTTTGGGGGTCAGTTATGTAACCTCAAGTTGTGCTTAAAAGAAGCACCCGGGATCTTTTTTAGGGGGAATAAGGCAACACGCCACATTTATTGAACATGCATAAATCAATCTATACTTTATCATATGCATTTGATACATCGCACTCATGCACTCACTCACACGCATACACATGCACACTCCGTCTTGTTACAATAGTTGCTCCTCTAACTGCACTGGCCAGGTGAGTTAGTTGGGGGAGGGGTGGAGCCGGGCTCCTGCCAATCTGGATCGATGCTCCCATGTTAACAAGACAAAAAAACCCGGGGTCCCTCTGCAAGACGCCTCCTCTTTATCCCTCTCATGCAGCCAATTAGTCATCACCTGGCCTTTGGTAATGCTGCTTCAGAGAGAGTCCTTCCAAGGGCCGGCGCTTGCTGCTGGACTCCCGTCTGTCCAGTCTTCTTTTCAATGAGCTCGCTGCACAGGTGTTCTCTTGGATCTGGCTCCTAGACCTTCTCCACCCTGGCAACTGCTCCTGGAGGAGCTCCCCTTTCATTCTCCATTCACACTTCATTCATTTCAACAGGGCGATCAAGGAAAGGAGTGTGCTCCGTTCTACTCCTAGCAAAAGACATTTTTCTTTACCTTAACTATTCCTAAGGCTTATAACATAAAGAGCTTAATACAAAGTTATATGAGAATGATACATGGTTAGATGGAAGTGTTACAGAGATTCATCCATATATAAGAATGATACATGGTTAGACGGAAATGTTGCAGAGATTTATCCACACTCGTGGGTGGGAGGGGGCGAGTCCCGGGAGACTACACGCTGGAGGGGAGCCCCAGTTCACACCCGGGGCTGCAGGAGTTGCAGGGGGCAGGGCGGGACTCTGATTGGGTCCAAAAGTATCTTAAAACCTTCTCCTGGAGGAAAGATTATCCCATGTAAAGTTTGGTTGTGGTAGCTCTTATAGGCTGCATCTAGACTGGCATGATTTTCTGCAAATGCTTTTAACGGAAAAAACTTGCCAGTCTAGACGTAGACATAGTGTCCAAGTTATTAGTGCACAAACATTCGCCATTATGTATTAGATCTGCAGAAAGTGTTAAATAGTGAAGTGACGATAAAGATGCTGCTTGCTTAGGGTTCAATTAGGTCTCTGGCAGGTTCTGTCCAATGAGAACAGGCTGACAATACAGTCCAGGAAGATGAAAGTCATTTACATTCAAATTCATATCCTCTTGAACAGCTTCCCTAAAGCCTCCTTCACTTCTTTATTTCTCAGAGTGTAGATGAAAGGGTTTAACAGCGGCGTTACGATAGTGTTCACAGTGTTGACGAACTTATGCATGTCAAAAAAGCTGTACCTGTAAACTCTGATGTAGAGGAAGATATTGGAGCTGTACCACATAACCACAACAATGAGGTGGGCAGAGCAGGTGGAAAAGGCCTTTTGCCGGCCTCGGGCAGACGGGATCCTCAGGATGGTGGAGATGATGAAAATGTAGGAGACCAGGGTTGTCAAACATGATCCCAGGATGACGATGATTGCCATAAGGAAACCAACCCACTTAACCACAGAAATGTCTGAGCAGGAGAGAAAGATCAAGGAATCGGCTCCGCAGAAGAAATTATTGATGACGTTAGAGCCGCAGAAGGACAGCCTGGTGACCAGAGAATTGTGGATACTCATACAAAGGAAACCAGACACCCAGCATAAAAAAGTCAGATGAGTGCATTTGGTGCTGCTCATGAGGGTGCTATACCGCAACGGGTAGCAAATGGCCAGATAGCGGTCATAGGCCATGACAGACAGGAGGAAAAATTCTGTGCAGCCCAGAGAGAAAATGAAGTACATCTGCAGGATGCAACCAACAAATGAGATGGTTTTGCTTTTCCCCAGGAAAACGGCAATGGCCTTAGGGACAGAGGCTGTGGTGTACCAGATCTCCAGGAAGGAGAGGTTGGAAAGGAAGATGTACATGGGCGTTTGGAGGTGAGGGCGAGCTATGACTACAGCTATTATGGCAAAGTTTCCTGTGACAGCCAAGATGTACGTCATGGTAAACACCACAGAGAGCGAAATCTGCAAAAGCTGATTGCCGGGGAATCCCAGCAAGATAAACTCTTGTGCGCTGGATTGATTTTCCTTCTCTACTCCAGTCATGGGCTCCATCTGTCAAGAGAGAAGACACGTAATTCAGGGGCAAATTAGTTACATGGATTCTTGGCCATCAGAGGTGACATTTTCACCTAGTTAGTTTGACAGGCTCCATTTACCATGAACTCACAGTTAATTACATTCATTGTATTACTTTATTAACTGAGTCCCTTACTGGCCACTCTATTATCTTGCTTGGGATCAATTTCAGCCTGAGAAGTCTATAGACCCATTCGTCCTCCAATCTGCCCATTTATGGACCCATCAGATCTCTTCAGATCTCTGGAATCCCCGTGAGGTTCCAAGACTTGGGAGTTCACTGGATATTTACCGTTGATTTTCACAACTCCACGGATAATTCTTTTAGCTCTCTTGGATGTGATTATCTGGATCTGCTGCTGTAAAAATGTCTATTTTTTGTCACTTCTCTTCCACACCCTGATGAGACTTGAGAAGGTTTTCAGCATTTAGCATTCCCACTAGATGCCTCAATCCCTTATAATATGTGGCCCTGAGCTGCAGTTGAAATGTTATTCCACCCAGCAACGTGACCAAATCCTTTTCCCACCAATTTATTGAACTTCTGAACAAACAAGTGATATTTTGTGCTGAATCCTTTGTTACCTACTCATTTCCCGAATGAGAAGCAATCAGGGGAAAGGAACACTAAGTAGCAACCTGCAGGATATCCACGACTGAAAGTGTGAAAAGGATCATTCTGAATCGATTTTCCTTCGCCCACTCTTGAGTTCTTCTGGTCACACAAGAGATTCATGGAGTTAGTTAAAAGAGAGACTGGAATAGGAATTTCATATTAATTAGTGTCCCAGGCGTGCTAACTTCTGCATACTCATTACTTACAATCCCCGGCTTTTGTGCTTTGCTTTTCATCATTAGATCTCAAAGCCTTTTACCGACAGGGGCAGGGTCACTATTCCCACTTTAGAAAAGAGGGAACTACAAACCAGATCTAATGTCCCTGGTTTTGCACTCAGCTGGGAGGGAGGAGAACTGAGCTGAAGCAGAGAAAAATTCAGATTTTGGTATTACTCTGAGGAGTGTAGGAACCTTGTTCCCATAGACTCTCGAACTCTATTTTGATAAGGTTGGACAGACATCTATCGGGGTGATCTAGACGATGCTTTGTCCAGCCATGAGGGCATAGGACAGGACTTGATGACCTCTTGAGGTCCCTTCCAGTTCTACTGTTCTAGAACTGAGAAATGTTAGCTCATTTATTTACAGATGGGGAAACTGAGGCACTGTTATGTGACTTTCACACAGCAAGTCAGTGACATAGGATAATCAACAACTCCTAATTTCCCATCTGCTAGAACAGGCCATAGCTGAGATAGTCAAAGCTACCTAAGGGGCCAATTTAGAAAGCCTTTAGATGCCCAAAGGGATTGTTCAAAGGGGCTGCGTGTCTAGCATAGATTAGAATCTGTTATTTGTAGTGGTCTGAATGATTCTAAATGTCTCTCTTGGTGCTTAAATATCTTCAACAAGCTAGTGCTTAGACAACCAAATTCCCATGGAAATGAGCAAGGGCTGGGCAGCTGGGTGGTGCTTTGCGTAGTGAAAACCTCAGCCTGCTTCTAACCGCAATGATCACTCCATGTTTACATTTGTATTTTGTGGGCTCACTGAGTCAAATCCGCACCAAAATCTGCAGATCTCATACTCCACTCCCGCCCATGCATGCAAGAGTTTCAAAAATGAAATGAAGGACAGAAATTGAGAGAAAAAAAGTGAGAGAGAGACCGTGGGAACATGTTAGACATGGACCAATTACTGCACACAGGAAACCTTTTCCTTCCAACCCGATATGGCCCAGTTGTACATTTTAAAATATAGAAAAGTATTTATTAATATTTCTTTTTTTTCTTTCTCACACTCATGCTCACGCTCATGCCCAGGCCCATGCCCATGCCCACACACATAATCTGGAGGACTTGGCTTATTAGCATTTGCTCAGAAAATCAGTCAGAAGAGACCCAGCCCTTCACACTGTATCTTGTTCCTTTAACATTTCTTGGATTCCGAGGAAAAAAATGCCTTGCTAATGGGGGTGCCATAGATTTCCCCCAGTCATAAATCCAACATGTAAAGACTTCAGAAACGTCCTCCTACGTATGGCACAGATTTCTGTACTGATTTGAAACTCACTCCATGAGTATTTAATCCTCCCCCTCCTACCTTTCCCCTTACCTGTTTGTGTACTGACGGCAACTCAACAATCCTACAAATAAGCCTAATTTATATTCCTTGGATGTGCCTTTGGGATTTGGTCTCAACAGAATTTCACGATTTTTTCCACAATGTGCCAGCCCCTGGCCGACTAAGAACAGTGCTCTCGATTAAAGACAAGCCATGGGGATTAGAAAACCTTGGTCCTGTATCTCCCCTGACTTGCTGATGGATCACCGTGTGATTGTTACTATTCCTTGGGCCTCACTGTGTCCTTCTGTAAAAGAAAAAAGGCTGGATTTGTAAAGAGATTCACACGCCTCCTATGAATGTAAAACCCGCTCGCATCTGTTCCTGTGAGGTACTCCTCTACTTCTCATACTCACATCATGTGTCTAAATACCTTTAGAGTTCTGGCCGTATGCAGCTGGCCCAAATTAAGAAACAAAGTCAAAATATCGACAAGCCATAAAGTGGTGAAATATACATAAGTATATAGAACCAGAGATCAGAATGTAAAGATATTCAGAAGTCTCAAGATAGGTAGTAAGGTACCTAGTGGGAAGTTCACAAGTCAATAATATGGTTAAATCATAGAATAGATTTATAGAATCCTAGGGCTGGAAGAGACCTCAGGAGATCATGGAATCCAGCCCCATGCCCAAAGCAAGACCAAGCACAGCTCAATCATCCCAGCCAGGTCTTTGTCAAGCTGGGATTTAAACACCCCAAGGAATGGAGATTCCATCCCCTCCTGAGGAAATCCATCCCAGTGCTTCCCCACCCTCCTAGTTATTAATTTTTTCCTAGTAGACAATCTTGACCTCCCTCACTGCAATTTGAGACCATTTCTCCTTGTTCTGCTCTAGATCTCCTTGGAATTCTCCTCCTAGTGCAGCTCAATATGCCATTAGCCTTTTTGTCTAGAAGGCCACCCTGTTGACTCATCTGCAGCCCCCCATCCACTGGAATCCCCAGGTCCTTTTCTGCCGAACTGCTATTTAGCTAGTCGGTTTGAGCCTGTACCAATGCTTGGGATTCTTCTGTCCTAAGAACAGGTCTCTGCACTTGTCCTTATTGAACCTCATCAGATTTCTTTTCTCCCAGTCCTCTAATCTGTCCAGGTCACTCTGGAACCTATCCCTGCCATCCAGAATATCTGCCTTTACCCCAAGCTTACGATCATCCACAAAACTTGCTGAGGATGCAATCCATCCCCTCATCCAGGTCATTAAGAAAGATATTGAACAAAACAGGCCCTAGAGCTGATCCTTGGGGAATCCCTCTAGAAACCGACTGCCAACCAGACATTGAGCTGTTGATCACTACCTGTTGGGCCCGACAGTCTAGCCAGCTTTCTATCCACCTTACAGTCCATTTCTCCAATCCATACTCCCTTAACTTGCTGGCAAGAATATTGTGGGAGACCGTATCAAAAGCTTTGCTAAAGTCAAGATAGGTCACATCCACTGGCTTCCCCATCTGCAGCCTCTCAGTCAGTTACCTCATCATAGAAGCTAATCAGGCTGGCGTGGCATGACTTGCCCTTGGTGAATCCATGTTGGCTATTCCTGATCACTTTCCTCTCTTGTACATGTTTCAAAATGGATTCCTTGAGAATCCCCTTCATGACTTTTCTGGTGACTGAGAGTATAGAACTCCATCTGAATTCAATAGGATTTAGATGTTTCAGCCAATGAGATGATTTAGTTGGGGTTGGTCCTACTTTGGGCAGGTGGCTGGGCTTGTTTGCTTCCTGAGGTCCCTGCCAATGCTATGATTCAATGAAAATTGCACAAGGCACCTAATTACTAAAGGGTATGTCTGGAGTACATGGCTCCATTGACGGAGCCATGTAGATGAGTTTACTAGACATAGGAAAATATAGCGGCAATTAAAATAATCACCACTTCATTTACATCAAAATGGTTGCCACGCTGTGCCGCTAAACAGTTGATCGGCACAGCGTGGCAGTCTGGACACGCCGCTGTCAACAAGGGAAGCCTTTGTCAACCTCTCCATTATGCCTTGTGAAATGTCCTATGTCTAGTAAACTCAACTACATGACATACCCATAGAAAATTTATCTCTAGTTCCCACAAAAATTGTATATTGGCTGTTGCATAAACACCAAACATGATTCTGGGCTGCATTAACAGTAGTGTTGTGAGCAAGAGATGAGAAGTATTTCTTCTGCTCTACTCTGTGCTGAATGGGTTTCATTTGGAGTATTGAGTCCAGTTATGGGCACCACTTTTCAAGAAAGATGTGGAGAAATTGGAGAAGATCCAGAGAAGAGTAACAAGAATGATTAAAGGGCTAGAGAACAAGAGCTCCAAGGAAAGACTGAAATAATTGGGCTTGCTTAGTTCAGAAAAGAGAAGACTTAGAGGGGTCATGATAGCGGTTTTCAAGTATCTAAAAGGGTGTCAAAAGGAGAAGGGGGGGAGGGAATTGCTCTCCTTGGTCTCTGAGGATAGGGCAAGAAACAATGGGGTTAAATTGCAGCAAGGGAGGCTTAGGCTGAACAACTTCCTAAATTTCAGGGTGGTTAAGCACTTGAATAAATTGCCTCAGGTAGTAACCTAAAAGCAAACCAGCCCCAGGAAAACCCCGGGGATCCCACAGGTTCACCTGGTGGCCTATAAACAAACCAGCCAGGGTTGTGCTGCTGGCCTAAAAGTAAACTGGTCACAAGGTGAACCTCTAGGATCTAAGGGGGTTGACCTGGTGGCTCTTTTGGTTTGGGACTACCACTCCAACGTTATTGGATCCTATAGAATGATCGACTGGACCAAAAGCAAACCAGCCATAAAGTTACCTCC